AAAACATTCATTATGAATAATATTGGTCGCGAAAGCCTGCGTGTTAAAATCACCTATATAATTATAAAAAACCTTGATAGGTTCAAAAACAGTAATAGCAACATTGTAAAGCACAGTATGATAAGATGCGACTAAATGCATTACAGACAAAGGAAGTGTGTAAAAAATTAACCCGTAAAAACAAAGTTTTTCACTATAAATCCTTTATATGCGTGTTCAATGGGCCACAACCCAGCCCACATTGGGCTTTGAAACGGGCGGCTAGAGTCCTCTCGTCCTCTGGCTTGAGATGGCTGCCACTTATGGGTCATATGATTGCCTAGCACCATTAAGCAATTGGTAATTAAATATAATTTTTTGTTTTCCTAAAAAGTGTAAATTGTCACGCACAACGAGTCTGTGTGCAAAATGTCAGCTCGATTGGATCACGGGAAGTGGGTTAAAAAACGACCGAAAGATTTGCACGGTCGTAAGCGCGCAAGCAAGTGAACTTAATATAAAGGATTTAAAAAATTAACCCGTAAAAACAAAGTTTTTCACTATAAATCCTTTATATGTGTGGCGGCTAGAGTCCTCTGGCTTGAGATGGCTGCCACCTATGGGTCAGATGATTGCCTGCCACCATTAAGCAATTGGTAATTAAATATAAAAACATTTTAAAGTGTAAAATTTTGGAAAAAAAATTTCACGAAAATAAATTGTCACGCACAACGAGTCTGTATGCAAAATGCCAGCTCGATTGGATCATGGGAAGTGGGTTAAAAAACGACCGAAAGATTTGCACGGTCGTAAGCGCGCAAGCAAGCAAGTGAACTTAATATAAAGGATTTAAAAATACTTAAAATAAACAGTAACATCCGGCTACCATGAGAGATTCGTACATGAGGCCATCCACATATACAAATGTAATAAACCCCGTTGAGACAACGTCGGGAATTCAGAATTCTTTATTAAGTTTCGTCCACAGCTCTCACTACATCCGTTCCTCTACTCCTGTTGCTCCTTTACGCTGTTGTTGTATCTGCGTGGGTATCTGCGGGTATCTGCGTGGGTATCTGCGGGTGTATCTGCGTGGGTATCTGCGGGTATCTGCGTGGGTATCTGCGGGTATCTGCGTGGGTATCTGCCGGTATCTGCGTGGGTATCTGCGGGTAACTGCCTCTGACGGTCTGTGTGTCTGTGGATATCTGTGCCTATTTCGGTCTGTGTGTGTCTGTGAGTATCTGTGCATGTCTTTCAGTCTCTCTGTGTGTCTGTGAGTATCCGTGCACCTCTGTCGGTCTCTGTGCATGTCTGTGGTCTCGGTGCATGTCTGTCGGTCTCTGTGGGTCTCTGCGCGTCTGACAGTGTGTGTGTTGTCAAATATGTAACTAATAAGCTTGTGCCGGAGGCCCCGGGGGGACAGGCATCTATGACGTCTCCTGGCCAAACCCCAATTGGCAGAGCCAGGAGAATGAATCTTTAACCTCGGGGCTCCTCCAGAAACAACGATAAACCACTTCGTGTGGCCACCTGAAATGTTCGAACGCTCACTGCGGAGGAGGAGCTGCCACTCCTCTGTCGGGAGCTGGACCGGTACTGCCTGGATCTCTGTGGCATTTAGGAGGTCCGGTGGACCGGTTCTGGCTCCTGCCACCATGAGGGGTGGACAGTCCTCTACTCGGGGCAGGAAACTGCCAAACAACAGGGCGTGGTTCTTCTTCTGAACAAAAAAATGAAGGGGGCGTGGGAGCGTGGCGGTGAGGTGTAGGAAGCTGTAAGCCCCAGGCTACTTTGGGCTCGCCTTCCCATCAACCGGAGGCGAGGAGTGGTGGTCGTGGTTACTTATGCCCCCACCAAAGGCGAACATCCGTGGAGGGATGCAGGCAAAGCCGATGGGTCAGATGCCTTCTATGACCTCCTGTCACAGGTGCTGGCTAAAGTGGCCACTCGGGATAGAGTCATCTTGTTGGGTGACTTCAATGCCTGAGTTGGTCATGATGCTGGCACCTGGTCTGGAGTGATTGGAGGGCATGGGCCAGATCAGCTCAATAACAACGGTAGGAGGCTGCTACATTTTTGTGCAGCCCATGGGCTTGTAATTACCAACACGCTGTTCCGGCATTGGCGCATCCACACAACATCATGGATACAAGCAAGAACATCTACTGGACTACATAGTGACAGACCAGCAGATGCGAGCCCATGTCCTTGACACCAGGACCTACCGTGGAGCTGATCTGCCCTCTGACCATCGACTAGTCATCTATAAGATGTGCCTTCCATTCTTCCACTCCGGTGCTGGGTGTAACCCCAGGACCCCATTACAACCTAAAGTGGCCTGGTCTCAGTTAGCTGATGAAAGTTGCAAGTGAGAATTTCATCATCGCTTGTGGCTGGGGTTGGCATCGTCCCCCACTCCTCCTAATGTCGAGAGTAAATGGGCACGGTTTAGGACTGTGACTCATGCAGCTGCAATGGCTGCTTTGGGTACGCGGTCCAGACCTCCCCAGAGACCCTGGCTGACAGAGGAGGTGTTCAGGATAGTTGAGAAAAAGCGACAGGCCCACTCTCATTGGCTACAGCATCCCACGTCAGAGAATGAAGAGGCTTACAGCAGCCTTCGCTCGGAGGTTCGGAGAGCCGTAAGGTGCTGCAAGGATGGGTGGTGGTCGCGGGTTGCTGAGGAGTCTGCCTCATTGGCCAACTATCACAAATCACTATTTAACGCCATCAAATAAGTAACCTGCAGCGCCACACCTATTACCATCATTAGGGGGGGAAACGGTGATACAATCTCCGACCCCCAGGAACAGGTTTGCAGATTTGCTGAGCATTTCTGTGAGGTCCTGGGGGAGGGGAAATCCCTCAGCCAGGAAAACATCATGGCACAAAGTAGGGATGACCCTTCTGAGGCTGCGGTGCCTCAAATATTGGAAGAAGTCACCCCCTGTGAGTGGCTGGCTGAGGTACTGAAGGCGATCCGGAGTCTGAGACCAGGAAAGGCACTGGGCAGAGATGATCTCCCAAGCAAAATGCTGAGGGAGGGTGGCATTTGTGCACAGACTGCCCTATATGATATAACAACAGTCTGGACCACTGGACGGGTTCCGCAGGATTGGAAGGATGCCCTGGTGGTCCCCCTCTTTAAGAAGGGGGACCGCACAGACTGTAACAACTACAGGGGCATCTCACGCCTCAGTGTGCCTGGAAAGGTCCTGGCAAGAATTATTCAACATTGCCTTACTAGGCACGCTGAGGAGAGGCTTGCGGAGCCCCAATGCGGTTTCAGGAAAGGGCGGTCCTGCACAGATGCCATATTTTCTGTCCATCTGCTACAGCAGAGGTGTAGGGAATTTCAACAAGACCTACATCTCTCCTTCATTGACCTGGTCAAGGCCTATGATACCATCAGTTGGCCTGGGCCCTGGGTTGTTCTTCGTGCTTTTGGAGTTCCTGACCCTCTGCTCACGATCATTAAGGGCCTTCATGATGGTGAGCGGCCCCGCGTCAAACTACGTGCTCATGAGTCAGAGCCATTCCCTGTACACCTTGGGGTGCGACAGGAATGTCCTCTGGCTCCCACATTATTTAACATCTATTTTGACCTCGTAGCTCGTGAAGCCTTCAATAGCTGTACCGCAGGAATTTCCATTTGGTACAGATATAATGGGAGGCTGATTGATGCCCGGGTGCGGTCAAGGGATGACTCCCTATTGGTCAACCACTACCATCGGACACTCCACCCACACAACTCCCAATCGGTGATGGGGCAGTTGTGGAGAGAGTGGAGAGTTTCCCCTACCTGGGCAGTGTGCTTATGACCGGCTCCAGTTTAACAGCAGAGGTCTCATTCCGAATCAGTCAAGCGGCAATATCTTTTCATCGGTTGCGTAACGCTGTGTGGAAGCTACCTGGTCTGTCGCTCCGCACGAATCTCCAGGTCTTCTCGGCCACAGTAATTCCCTCCCTTCTCTACGCTTGCGAAACGTGGACCCCCCTAATGGAGCATCTTCCCCGGTGAGAAACATTTAGGCTGGCCTGCCTACGATCCATCATTGGCTTAACCAGGCTGGATTGTGTGAGGAGGTAATAAATCCTTGAAAAATCTGGGCAAAGTCCCATCGGTGAGCCCCTCCGGCAGGTAAGGTTGCGTTGGCTGGGTCATGTAGCCCGAATGCCCAGCCACCGCATGCCGAAATAGCTTTTGTTCGGCCGGATCGACGGGGCTAAATGGGCTAGAGAAGAGATGGAGTAATGTTGGACAGGAGGACGTGGAGCTGAGTGGACTTGCCGATGACTGGACACTACTGGGCAATTGGAGGCAGTTGCCCTTCTACAACAACGGACAACATCTGTGGGTCTGTGTGTGTATTTAGGTTTCAATGCTAGTTTAGGGGAGTCAAATAAAAAATATATAAATCTTAGATTCCTTCCGGAATGCAGACGGGTTAAATTTTCACTCCGACCAAGGCATTCTGGGGCGTTCAGCTGATAAGCTGATTCTGGTCTACTCATTATTAGAAAGACCAAACTATGCAGCAAGGCTCCGCGATTGTGGAATATCCCTTCTTTGGTCCATTAGGGAATCTGAGTCTATAACACTTTTAGATCACATTTTTACAAACTCACTTGTTTTTTTACAACATATTTTCTCCAAAACGTAAGCTTTATGCAAATGCACTTTTAGGTCTTGCATGACTTGCACTGAGAGACAACCGTAAGTAGTATTATTGTTAAATGTTATTCAGAAGAGTAATTCCTCCCTTAAGGCGGTGTTTTCCTTAATGAGGACCCTTTGAGGAATGCATCTACTGCATTAAATGAGGGGTTCGTGTATCTTGCTTCATATACAATACAATTATTGTTGACTATTATATTAGACGACGTATGGTAGAAATCGACATATCAGCGCAACACTGCTTTAAATCTCCCCAGCCATTCAGGTCACCCAAAAGTGCGTTGGAAACGTTAACCCCATAGTGTCACGCAGACGTCAGCATGGACATCGTGAAGGATACCGCAGCTGCTCCAGGCTCGTGTTATCCAGAGTCTTCTCGGTGTTGTAGACAAGCACATTGCACAGCAGCACGGCCATGATGAACAGCCAGATGTCGTGCTCCTCATTGGCCTGCGTGTGAGAGATGGGAGCTGTTTAAATCTGACACCCGTCAACTTATGAAGCCCATTGGGTTTTTGTTTTTAATCAAACAATACAATTGTATTGGTATTGCTTTTAAAACTAAGTTTTAATTCGTTTATGCATCTGCTCTGCCTTTCTGTCCATCTACTTTGTCCGTATGTCTTCGAAACTGGCATGATAACCTTCATAAAGACGTCTCATGATTAAGATGACATTGTATACAGTTTCGTTGATATAAGGGATTATCTGATAGACAACTGCGACCATTATCAAAAAGGTCCAAAAAACGGTTAGCCTTGTAATCCCATGCAGATGATGTAACACACCGTGCATGAATGTCACAACATCGCGTGTTATATGGCATCAACTTCATCCAGCTCAAAACGCTGTTATGTACTAACATTAACCGTGGTAAATCCACTGCTGGATGAAGACCCAACGTTGCTATCATATCTCACACGATTGCAAAAGTAACAATCCATCTAGCACCTTTCATGTTAGCTGATTACATTTCTATATCTCCTCAGTGCAGGTCTTCTCAGATGCATTCATTGGCCGTCACGCAATCGCTATTCTAGCCGGGACATATCCTGCCCAATTACTATTGTTAAACGTGTTAATGATGAAATTAACCTGCATTTTTTTATACTTCTGAGGACAAATGCATATTAGGAACCGTTATAAAATCCATGAATTAAATGTGTTGTTATTTTTCCACAATGTTATAGTTAAAAACTAACCTATACATTTTATTTTATTTTCCCAGGTAAGGCCCATTGAGCTATATAGCTCTTTTTCAGAAGCGACCTGGCCACAAATGATTGCTCGATGAAGTGACTTATCATGTGGAAATGTATAGCAGCCACATAGGTTCTAAATTGTGGATGGAAAACCGGAGACCCTGGAGAAAAATCCACGTTACCACGAGGAGAGAGACATGCAATCTAAAAATATACAGCAGGCATCAGGGTCGGGATCGAATACACGATCTCCTGTACCAGGCGAGGTGGTTAACATCTCGCCACCGTGGTGCCCTAATGCTACACGTGGTCCTGCACTGGCTGTTTTCCAAGCCCAGCTAGACCTGCGATATACTGGCCTCAGGATAAATTTAAATGACTCAGGGGCAGGGGCGGGGCAAATTACACTTTACTAGTGTAATGTGAGGATATATCCGGGTTGCTGATGGATCACACCTCGTTACGATGATTGGCTCTGCCGGTCCTGGCCAATAGCCAATGGGGGGAAGTCTAGGGGCGTGGCCCTGACGTAATGGGAAGATGACATCTGTAAGTAGAGGATTGGTTCTGCTGGCTTTAGCCACAGCCAATGGGGGGACGAGTCAGGGGCGTGGTCCCGGGAACGTACGATGGAGTCTAGAAGATTCCATAGAGGTTAACCAGGATTGGTGGAAAGGTACCACGTGACCCGGGTATTAAAAGGGGTGGAGACGAACAACACGTGGTCAGATCTGGAACGAACGGAGGGTGAGGCCACGCTGGAGCGGGGTCCAGGCTGCCACGTGGCCGCGCGTGTCTCTCTCTCTATCCCTCTCACGCTGTCTGTCAGCAGCGTGAAGGAGTGTTGTAAAAGAAAGACAAATAAAGACCGGATTCCAGAAGTCGCTTCCACGACTTTTATTACACTAGCATGTGATGTCAGCAAGTACAGTGGGAGAACAGTGCCACTCCCACGTCATCTAAATGTGAATCGATTCATTAATTGAATATCATGTCTGTCACTACGTCAACTACACGTCTCAACTTTTTCAGTGTGTGTGATATCCGTAAATACACTAAGGACAGAACGCACTGTTAGCTACATGCATCTCGACTCGGTCACTTCGTGTGGTGTACGTCGGCTTACTGTGAGGTCACATCATCACCACGTCATCTACACACGTCTCCACTAGTTAATTGCTTTGACATTAGTGGCAGAGCTTCTGGAGTGGGGGAAAAACGCAGACTTGGTGCCTCTTAAGCAGCACACGTAATCCACCATAATAGAGTAGTTTATAATTTGTATTCAACTAATTGACTCAAAGTGACTCATCTTCCCAAGCTCTAGCATCGTGCGAACCAGTGACATACACATTCAAAGATATTGGCTCTAACACAAGTTAATTCGAGTTGTGTGCAGTGCCCTTAAAAAAAACATATTAGTAGATTAATTCTGGCCATTGTTACAGTATAAAGTTTTAGGTTTATTTTCTTCCTGTTGAGCCATTCGCTCCACATTCCCTCACCTTCTCCGGGTCTCCCAGCCCCTCCGTGTCCAACAGTAGAAGACAATTATCCTTGTTCGTCGGGTGAGGAATTGGCCAGGCCCAGATGCCCTTGGTCTTCGATTGCACTGCGTGCCCTACAGCGAAGCCACCTGGTCCCCACCGGGTGGAAGGGAACAAAACAGAGACATGGGGACAGGTCTCCAATGTGTTTTTGGATTGCAACTCACATTGTTGTTTGGTGTGATTCTCAAACAGTTTTTTGTACGTTAGTTCATGGGGTCTCTTTATGAATCTGTGAGTTGTTTTTTTTAAGTGAGTCTATAAGGATCTCTGTGTGAGCCTACGGTTATCTACATTAATCTGCGAGTATCTGAGTCTATGGATACCTCATGTGAGCCTACGTGTGTGTTTATGTGGTCTCTATGTGAGATTATGGGTATGTGTGTTTGAGAGTCTACGGGTCTCTGTGTGAGGGTATGGATCACTTCATGAAGTGAATTGAGGAGCTCACATTCTCCCCCAATTACATCGTTGAAGTGATTAAATCACACTCGAAAATACTCACCCAACGATATGGACACTATGTGCACGACACCGACAGTCCAGAAGAAAAAAAGTCGCTCTGATTGACACTTAACTTGCCTGAAAGGGGATTTGTTAGAGGCAAGGAATTGAAGAGATTGGTGGAGAAATACAAATGGAAAGAGTGAGAAACTGAGGATGATTGACAGGGATGACTGTTGGAATCTGTTAGGGAAAGTGGGAGGTGATTAGCTCGAGGCAAAGCAGGTCAAGGAACCTACGGGAAAGGAGCTTGAGTGATGTATAAAGGGGAAGCAAAATAGTTGTGTACTGCCACTAGATCGTGTTGCCTGCTGCTGTTGGTGTTGCAAATTCTTAATGCCTGAACATGTGAGAGCTATACAACTGCTAAAAAAACTATACAGTAATATACACATGTGACAACTATCTCTCCGTTTCTCACTCTTTCCATTTTGTATTTCGACCTCCAATCCCTTCAATGTCCCTGCCTCTAACCAATCCCCTTTCAGGCCCTTTAAGTAACCAATCAGAGGGCTTGTTTTTAATTCCTGATTATCCGTGTCACGTGGTGTCCACCACATCAGGTGAGTATCGTTCGTAGTGATACAATCTCTATACACGCATGCAACTGAATTACAGTATTTTCCCGCATATAGCCCGCATACACATATAACCCGCAGATGCATATACCCCGCAAGCATTCATGCATTTAACGTCGTTAACGCAGCTTAATTCAATCATATTAATACGAAGTTTACATTTGTAATACATTCCACTATCAATTGTTAACATTAAAATCATAACGTACACAAAGAAAACAAACTAACCGGAAACGAGTGAACTTAAAACAGTGAATAAGTAACAAAAGTTAATATCCAATAAGTAACACATAACTGCTAGATAAGTAAGTACAGTTTTAGCACTGGTAGATTGCGCACTGCGCAGATAATAGCGGCACTACGGCAACCCCGTTGCCTCGCCCCCCCCACCTCTCTCTCCCCCCCAGCTGCCCCACCCCCCAACCTCCCACCTCTCCCTCCTCCCCGTTCTCCCGTCGCCGGTAAACAGTGCGCGCACTTAAAAACATTGTCGTTTAATTGTACAAACAATTAATTTAAAACGTGATAACATGTGCAATTTTAGTGTGAGTGGTTTATTCAGCAGTGCTTTAGTCAAAGGTAAGTGTTGCATAGTGGATAGTCCTACCATGGAAAAAATTAACGAGTTATGACATGTCACACGTGTAAAATATTTTTGGGATAGCCCGCACCTCCATATACCCCGCAGGGTCTTGTTTTGTTTGTAAAAAGTGGTATACCCCGCGGGTTATATGCGGGAAAATATGGTAACCATCCGCCGAATACCTGCATATTTTTTTAATACTATGAGAGGTTCAGTTTAACACGTAGGCTTTCGCGACCAATATCATCCATAATAGAGTTTTTTTTTGGGTTAGATCACGTGACTATATAAATATGTCATTAAAAACCGCCACCACACGACACAGCCAACGAGTAAGGGTTGTCATGTTAACAGATATGTGGATGACACATTGGTGGTCTGGTCAGACGGCAAATATACACTGAACGCATTTCTAAATCATCTCAACTCGTAAACCCATCCATCCAGTGCACCAGGGAAGTAGAAGCTGACAGAACTCTACCATTTCTGGATATTCTGCTCGGACGGGGTCGAAAGGGTAAAATTTCACACGGTGTTTACGGAAAGAAAACGCATATTGATGCCTATCTGAATGCAAAGTCACACCATCACCCCGCACAGAAATCTGCTCTTATCATGACGCTCATTCATCGAGCTAAGAAAGTGTCAGATGGTGACAGTCTGAGAAGTGAAATTCAACATGTTAAAGAAGCGCTGCAAATGAACGGTTACATTGATGCACAAATCAACAGAGCATTGAATGCCAAAACCAAATCAAATAACACGAGCATTGAAACTGCCCAAGTAATTAAAACGATCAAAATACCGTACATTGTGGGAGTAACTGATAAACTAGCCAGGTGTTTGCAAAAACAAAACATCTGAGTCAGATTTGGTACGGTACATAGAATACAGAAATTATTATCTGGCACAAAATATGTATTACCGAAGCTATCAACAGAAGGTGTGTACAGGATATGCTGCACGTGTGGTAAATGTTATGTTGGACAAACATGAATGATCAGCACGAGACTAAAAGAACATTTGAGAAATATTAATTTCTCCCAAATACAACTGTCAGTAGTAGCAGAACATGCGTGCCATCAAGGACACTCAATTGATTTTGATAATGTTGAATTTCTTGCAAAACTAGCTATTACTGGCCAAGACTAATTGGAGGATCTATTGAAATTTAAATAATAAAAATAACTTGAACCATTCGGATAGCTACCGCCTTAATGCTGCGTGGAAGCGAATAATCAAATAATACATTATATAAATGCATGCCTACAAAGGGCAGCATACTTCAATAAGGGTTACCGTTTGTACGGCTCTTTTAATACACAGTAAACAGGAAGGACAAGTTGAAAGGGCTCGCATAATGAATAATGGACGTTGCCTCAGTAATCCCCCCACTTTGTAAAAGAAGCTTGGTAACCACATCTACGCCTCTATATAAGGAACGAAACTGTAAGACTTCTCCACAAATCTGGCTGTCGCCTGATGAAGCTAGTTGTAATTACTGGTGAAACGTCGTAGTCGGATTATAAATGTTGTGGCTTGGCTCTCCAACACACCTGTGTGCTGTACTAGTAACGAATTGGCATGTTCTGTTTTCGTGACAACCCTTACTAGTTGTCTGTGTCGGGTGGTGGCGGGTTGTAACGACACATTGATACATTTACGCGATCTAACCCAAGAAAACCTCTATTATGTATGAGAGGTTCACTAACGTTTTCAAATCCGCAGCCAAAAAAGAACATCCTGAGAGCACAGAAAAGAACACAACCCCTGCTGGTTCCTAGACTGGGGAATGCTAGTCATACTGATGGACAGGAAACTGGTGACAATCCAGACCCAATGCAGATGAGCCCTCCCTGGGTTTGATCTTCCATGAAGCTCATGGTCCACCCTAAACCGCATCCAACTGTACAAATTATGGTTTCAGATGCGGATACTTGATGTACAAATGGAAAAGTTAAAACCCTCCAGCGTGTGAACGTGGTCATCCAGAACAGACCGTACAACGTATCGCGACGCAATGCCCGATCCACAAATACAAAGGAGATATCACGGCGATATGCTACTCCACTGCTCCTGACGTTGTTATCTGGCTTGATCACCTGAATGTGAAATTGTAGTTGTTTCTCTGCCATCTGCATCAGCTGCCACATGAAAAGAAGAATAAGAAGAAAGTGCAGTTTTTCAGACACTGAATGAAGAAAGGCAGCAGCAAGCAATGGGTTGAGAGAGTCGAGGGACTAAACCTCACAGACATCCTCGACAACAATTGTGGAACTTCATCCGCTAATAGATGGACATCCACAACGACATCAGCCAACGAAAGTAGACAGCATGGCATTACTGGCCAACTGCTTCTCAATCGAAAGCCCTAAAAGATTGTGATTTGAAACAGCGCATGAAACCATAATCCGAACTCACAAACCACACGTTTCAATTCCACTCAGGAAACCAAATCAAAACATCTTGACTGCACGAACAAAATACCTGTCATACTCTTTGGTTCTTTGGGTAAAGTCACGTAGGTAGAAAAATAATAGATCACTACGTTTCGATCGCAACACAAGAAATCGTCATCAGGTGGGACAACCACAACAAGAAAATACTGCTGAAGTAGGCGAGAGATCTGCCGTGGCACGGGATTATATAGGCATCTGCAGTAGGGGGGCAGAGAGAATGTGGGGGGAGAGAGGAGGCGGGGCAGAAAGTGGCCCCCGCGGCAGCACCCGGGTCACTGGAGTACTGGAGTCGAGATCGGAGAGAGAAACACACACAGAGAGAGAAAGACACACAGAGAGTCGGAAATAACAGCTGACATAGGCAGGTAGGATGTAAACTTCACAGTCAGTTAAGACTTTACCTGGTTAACAACGTCCTTCCAATGATTTCTCAGTTTGTACCCATCTTCTCGGTTCAAGTTGTGTTTATATATCTGGATGGCTTCATGAACAAATCTCTGATAATAGCCGGTAGGTTTGCAGAGTACCTTGGTCTTGGAAAAGTCAATTTTTTGTGAGCCCACAGCATTAAAACAATGATCAGCAACGGCAGAGGTATTGGTCCTACCGTGTTTCAGATCTACCTTGTGTTCACGAACGCGGTCCAAGACGTGTCGTTTCCTTTCCCCAATGTAACTGCTGCCGCAGCCACAACTCAGTTTGTAGACACCCGGGTATTGCATATCAGGAATCACATCCTTTACAGATGGGATCAAATCACGGATTTTGTGTTGAAAAAAACCTGGATCTTGTGTTTGTTTAAGATTTTGGAAATATTTTTGGTAACCCCTGCTATGTATGGCAAAATGATGGTATTGGTTGGATCCTCCGATGGGTGTCTCCCCATGGCTGGGGAGACAGCTTTGCGGATTGTACGGTCAGAATATCCGTTCATCCTGAGGGTTTGGTGTACGTGCTACAGCTCA